TGTGATGTCCTCGGTCTCCGTGAAGTGACGCCGGTTTTGGATGGAGGCTGCCATATTTTCTGCTCCCCGAGCCAGGCGTGTGCGGCATCTTCAAATACTGAGTGATGAGAGAAGCGCCGAACTCTTGTCGAAAATTATTTCCTTGCAGCTGAACGTGTGCGCGTTGCTCATTTATTGCAAATGTGCCGCCAGTAGCTTGGTTCTAATTGATCCGTTTCCTCGTGGGTTTCCGTGTAGGTTTGTAAAGACACAGCTTTTGTGTATTTTGCGTGGGTCGGATTGCCCTCAAAATGAAGCCTCATCCCAAATCCAAAATGAACGACCACAGTCAGGTCGTGGAAATGCACCGACGATCGTATCTGTCAAAAACTAAAAAGTTTAAAATACTTAAGCCCAAGTTTATATACTCTGTGGGGGGAAAAAATAATTTTTCATTGTTTAAAAAAGATTTTGCTTTAGGTCACAAGTGCAAAGCTTCTGTATCTTGAGAACTGTAGGCAGGTGCTTGAGTGCCCCGCAGCACTGGTAGAGCTGGTGCTTTGGTCTGCCCAGTCGCAATGCATCATCGACTCGACAGTGGAAAAACAAAAGCGTCCACTTTCTGTTCAAAGATCATACTAGTTTTGAAGGTATTCTATGTCAATTCTTTGCAGAAATGTGAACAGTTTGGGGGCCTGCTGGCCACAAAGCAGAACTGCAGTGTGCTTTGTCTTTTGGGAGTTTGTATGCTTGATTGACCTCTAGAGCCTAAGAGGTTACAAACGAGCAGTTTATTCGCCCCATCTAGCCTGCTCGATTGCTAGTAGCTGTTGGGTCCAAGGATCTGTAGCCTTTTTTTAAGCCAAGTCAAGATATTGGCTTCAGCGAGGTGCCTTGTGGTTTGTTCCACACTTCCACACCCTGTGTGTAAAGTGCCACCTGTTCTCAATTTTTAATGCACTACAACTCATAGTCCTCGTCTTCCTATTCTGCGGAGTCTGAAGAAGACCCCTGGCCTGAACTTGCTGATGCTTGAGAGGTTTTGAATATTGTTCCACAGCACAGGGACCAGATTCCAGAGCTGCCTGGCTCTTGTCTCCTTTGCCCTTACTGAGCCCACAGAGCTGAGCAGGTGCTTCGCCTCTGTATCTTGAGTGCCGGTTGAAAGTCTGCACAATCTTTCCAAAGTAACACATTTTGTTACTTTGCCTACCTACCAGCCTGAAATTGGGACAGCTCAAATCAGAATTTAGTTGACCTTTATTTACACTGTTACCCACAACCTCTTGAGTGAAAAACAAATGCTCAGACATTCTGAAAAATGATTACAAATGAACACCTGGAAGAAGGGGGGTGGGTAAGTGTGCAGGACCCTTGAATTAGTTCTTGGTGAAAGCACCTTTTATTTATTTAAGTACAGCTGTTAATTCTACTTGGACAAGTCCTGTAACAAAGTAACTCGCCTAGATCTAGCATTGTTTACACATTCCCTCATTGTGTTACTTGGGAAAGGGTGTAGACCTTTTATAGGCACTGTGTCTTTGATCATGCCAAGGGGAACTTTGAACTGGAAATAGTCTGAAATATAATATGTATTCGGTGCTTCGTCCAGTACCAGTCTTATATTGTCTGGGAGACAGGTAACATCCTCAACTTGCAGAGCAGCGCCAGGGCAAGGAACAAGGGTTGCTGCCAGTGGTGGCGACGCAGTAGGGTCTCCAGCTGGACCCCTGTCACTGTATCCAGCCATTTGACACTGTGCTCATTCATCACGCTGCAGTGAGTTCATTGTAGTCTTAATGCCACACATACAAATGTTCCTGATGTTGTCATCATGCTGTCCATCCGTTCGTTTTCCAACAGCTTCTTCCAGTTCGTGTTCACAGGAGAGCCTGAGTCTATCTCGGAGCACCTGGAAGGAACCCATGCAAACGTAGGGA